ATTTTAGCATGACTTTTCTAAAAATAGGACATATGGGGTACTTGCGACAAATGCATGGGCCGAGGTATCTTAGTACTTAATTAAGTAGGATCAACTGCCTCTTGTGTTATACATATAGAAGTGTGATATTAACTCATAGTTATTACTAATGTCAGCTGCTCGTCATCGATAAACCCTAATCTGGAAGAGGAACCACTCATCCTATGTAGTTTTGAAGTATGAACGTAGGAATGTCGTCATCGGACGACGAAAGTCTCCCGGGGGAGTGCGACTAGTGCCACGACAATCGAGGTATGTGCGACAGGCCTCACCTGGACGATGATCGGCGCTTCAGCATTAAGCTCGAGGAGACCTTCGAAGTTGAAACGGTGCGCAACGACGACAATTGTTTTTTTCATAATTAAGCATGACTTCAACTATTTCAACATGTAATTTTCATCTTTTACAATTCGAGTATAGCTTATCCCATGCCATGCAAGACGCTATGTCTTGGAGAGGATGGATTTTGAAGACCATGAAATTTCTGAAACAAAGAAAATTCATCTAAGGACTCATCACAATGTGGACTTTGAAGTAAATCTGTATAATTCTAGGAGCGTAACCCATTTTGGTTGCAAAAATTGGGAAGCATTTTGTAAGATGTATGGTTTTGATGAGGGTATGCTTGTCACCATGGATCTTGGTAATCCTGACATCGACCAAGACAATATGGACATTTGGGTCCTTGTTGATACGCCTTCAGTTCTACCGCTATGTGAGTTTCTCAAACATAGTTATTAGCTAATTTATATTGTTTATTTCAAAATAGTTGACAGCTTATTTTTATTGACAGCTTATTTTTATTGTTTAAAGAATGTGCGGGAGATGGTAGACAAAACCCACTACACCAATGGCTCCGAATTTAACAACTTACAAGGAGAAAAATCATCTGGTCAGATTTTGTACTGACATTGAGAATTACAATATCTACAATCAAACTCCTCAACATTATGGTCAATACGTGCCACTAGTGCATGTGTTCAACTACGGTAACTATCATGGAGATACCCTGATAAGATTTTTACTATTACGACATCCGTGCATCTTTTGCATACTTCTAAAACTAGTACATCATTACTAACTATGAAGTTATTACTATGTTTTTCAACAGATAATCCCAGAGAATTGTGTGCCTCATTTGATGTATCAGAAAGGTAGTCTTAATGTTTTGAACAGACAGTCAGGTCATCCTACGAATCTCAACTGTCCATACGAGATTTTTAAAAAAAGTGGAGACATGAAAATCAAAGAATGGAAAAAATGTATGGACAGTCGTAAGGAGGTTCTTGGAAGCAAAAAGAAGCGAAGCGCAAGAATTGGAGACATGATGTTCTCCATTCTCCATAATGGAGAGTCAGGGTCTATATTATTTTATGCTATTTTACCTTAAATAAGGTATTTAGGTCCTGCCTAATACTGATGATCATGTGCTAAGAACAATTAAGTAGGGTTGGTTCGATGACTATCAAGATGATGATCGTATGACTTGTTATTAATAACGAGTAGAAGTTGTATGATGATGATTAGTAGGACTTGTTAGGATTAGTATTACTTCTGACAAACTCGCTACTCGCGGTCTCGAGACTTGTAATGTTCTATCTTTGTTCGGTCTTTTGAATTCGGAGACTAATATGATGAATTGTATTCGGAGACTAATCTTCTATTGTATTCGATGAATCTGTTGTTGCTATGTGGTGCTGTCTATATTTTGTCCAATAATATATTTTGTAACCTATGCAAAAATCAGAAAAATAAAAAAACTTAATATTCATACTAATGGCGCATCACCCCACAGTGCGTCATTAGTATGCCAAAGCACATGGGTAAATATGGCCCCCTGGGAGGCATACTAATGGCGCATGTTGGTCTATACTAATGGCGCACGGCGTGGTGTGCCATTAGTATACCAGATACTAATGGTGCATCAGTGGTACGCCATTAATATATAATACTAGTGGCGTGGTACTAGTGGCGCACCAGTAATGCGTCATTAGTAGGCAAAACTGGTGCGCCACTAGTAGGCCTTTTCCTAGTAGTGGTTGGGTACACCCATGAAGCTGCGGCCCTCGCTTTCTAATTCGAACACCAGAGGCACTCGACCTCTTGCATTGTATCCAATCCATCCTGTATTATTAACAAAATAATGCATTTTGAAATCCTTTCAAACTCTTTATGTGTGTATGTTTTCAGTTTGCTGCTTAATGAGGCGTGTCAGAGGTGCCTCAATTGGCAGTCTAGAGTTGCTTGTGTTGGCTTGGATGTCGGAGCGCACTCTAGTTGGACGCCCCTTACCCGGCTGCGCGGACCGTGGGAGTATGAGGGTGATCCAAATGAGCTACCGGCCATTTCATACAAGTGAGGCCTGGTTGGAATATACCACGCGAGGCCGGGGAAAGAAACATGAGCCAAGTTTCCATGTTATTTTACTTCAAAGATGTTCTATTCAATGCATCAATTTTCAATTCTATTTGTACCATCTCAGTCAAACTTTGGCGACATGAGCTTGTTAATCATTTTTGAGTAAAGCACTCCCTCCGGTCCTTTTTTATTTCACATATTAGATTTTTGTCAAGTCAAACTTTATAAAGTTTGGCCAAATGTATATTAAAAAAATATCAACATCTGCAATACCAAATATATATAATATGAAACTAAATTTTATAACAACAGTTTTATAATAAATCTAAAGATATTGATTTGGTATTATGAGTGTTGATATATTTTTCTATAAGTTTGGTCAAAATAGAAATACTTTGATTTTAGACAAAATTTATATGCAGACTAAAAAAGAACCGAAGGATGTCAGTGAGCCGCGCGCCGGGCCTCACCCGCCGCAGGTGCGTTCATCACGTGTGCATCGTACGCGGCCGTGCCCGCCGTTGTCACGACGTGGCCACGAGAATGCTGTTGTGCACGCCGACGTCAAGGACTTGACGCACGAGTTTGCCGCGTGCGACATGGTCTTCCTGGCGGTGCCCGTAGGCGTGGCGGAAGCTAACGTTGTGGTGCACGTGCACCTCCCGTGCCTGCGTGCCGGCCCCTTAGAACGCCTCTCCGGAGAACCCATTTTCATGTGCTCTTGCAGGTGCTAGACAACCTCACCTCACGTACGACACCCCAACACAAAGGGAGGGAATGTGGCAGAGCACGTACGGTGGCGCCGGAGCTGACCATGACGGGCAGCACGAGGCTCGTCTGCAGGAAACGTATGTGCAGCCGAGGGAAGGGATCAGCCTGTCAGCAGTGCTACGCAGATGCTGACAGCATCGACAAGCAAGACAGATGCAGGGACGTCAAGGGCGCGTAATTCAGAAGCAAGTGCAAGCTCATGGGCCGGAAGTCGAGTGGGCCGCAGTCCAGTCGAGAAGGTTGGAGGTCCAGGCGAGAAGATGAGGTGTTTCTTAAACTTCAACTCTATGCACAACATTCAATTGTCAACCGTCCATGTGCTAAGTTGGCCTACAAGTATTATGGACCCTTTTCAGTGTTAGAGCGCATCGGACCAGCAGCTTACAAACTGCAGTTACCTTCAGAGGCTCTCATTCATCCTGTGGTCCATGTGTCTCAACTGAAAGAGCATAAACCAGATCATACACCGGTCTTCTCGCAGTTACCGTCGATGGTGGATTTATTTGTGGCTCAAGTGGTGCCAGAGGTTTTTGTGGATCGCAAGATGGTTAAGAAAAACAACAAGGTTCAAGTGCAGGTGTTGGTAAAGTGGTCTGGATTATCGGAAGAAGCGGCGACTTGGGAGGACTATGATGTGCTTAAGAGTAGGTTCCCAGATGCACCAGCATGGGGACAAGCTGATGCTCAAGAGGGCGGCATTGTCAGCAGTGCTACGCAGATGCTGACAGCATCAACAAGCAAGACAGATGCAGAGACGTCAAGGGCGCGTAATTCAGAAGCAAGTGCAAGCTCATGGGCCGGAAGTCGAGTGGGCCACAGTCCAGTCGAGAAGGCTGGAGGTCCAGGCGAGAAGAGTGAATGGGTATATCAGTAGGCGATGCCAGAACAGATCGGCAGCTAGGAATTGACTTGTGCCTCGTCTCCCCTGTCCCTTCTCTGTCTTACCTCTTCTCCAAGTCTCCTTCTCTATTCCCCAACCTGTATCTCCCTCCGTAATCCCCAAATTATCGAGAGGAACTGTATGATCTGAGTAAATTCGTGAGTTTTGATCGTGGTACATCACAGCCACCGTGCCTTCAGCCGGTGTGATGCCGCTGTTGCACTCAGCATTCAAAGACTCTGGGATGAGAGGATCTGGTTCGTGTCTGCAACCAAAGCCAAGGCATCACGATAGCAACGGCATTTCCCTGGTGAAATCAGCCTACACAGTGTGCATTGACTCACACGAGGAAACAAAGGCAGTGCTGCAGCCCAGGTTGAGCAGCGATAGGCTCCACCATGCTGGTTGGTTGAGGAGAAACTGAGCTCGCCTGCATTTGATCATGCTCAGTGGGCCACCTGTGTCTCTGGAACTCTGGATCTTCATTCATTTTACAGTCTACTTTTGCCCACAGGCATGTAATGAGACTGCTCATATGCTAGCAGCTAGGGGTGATACCATGAGCGGCGGTGGACGAACTTCCCCGATTACAGGGATGCAAGCGGAGACATCCGCCAGGTAAAAACTAAGCTAATCACTGCTGCTTTAATAACCATACTGGTGCAAAATTGATGGATGCGGACGCTCGCAGGCTCCTCCGCCTGTGCATGCCTACACCCATTATGTACCGGGTTTAGCAGCCTTAATGGAGTAGCAGAGTTTCATCTCAAGAAAAACAAAAAGTTTCCACCGATACTGCAAGTAATTGCTGACGTAACACCAATTTGTCCAAATCCTAACAACAGCGATAACTTAAATAACACAACGAAACCAGCAGGCAAAGAATGGAATGACAAGAATTACAAGCACCGTGTCGCAACTATCTTTTTTTTTCCGTAGCGACGACGACGGTTCAAGACCCACAGCAAGCCGACTTCTGTCCTGCTGCTGCACTGGCATCACCCTCCGTGTTGATCTTGATAGTCCCCCCCTGAAACCAACGAGATTACTGTAAGGCACTGCCCAACCGTCGCAAGCGCAAAGATGCTCTCAGAACTATGGGAATGATTGGGATACCTCAGTCTTGGAATCTGCCTCCGAGAGTCTCTGTTTGATGTCTCTTGCTATAGAGAAGAAAACCTGCTCGACATTCATGTTTGTCTTTGCACTCTGCGGGGACAGTAATATATAAAGGATTATGCGTGGGAAACAAATGTCAAGGTATCGGCAGTTGGGCACCAATGCTTAGAAAGATGCCATATAAATCAACATAAAATTTCACTGCTGTGCGGAGCTTAAATGCTACATGTAGCAAGGTTGAAGGTTGTGACTTTCACTAACCGCTTCAAAGAACTGGATCCCGTATTCATCGGCCAGGGCCTGGCCCTTTGAAGTGGGAACAGCCTGCATGAAAGCAATTGAGCAGATAAGAGAGATATGGATTCTTCCAAAGATAAGTGGGTGACAAACTGAATGTAAAATGTAAGCCATAATAATGCTGAGCATGTTTCTTTTTGTTTGCATGACATCTAAATGTATCAGAGTAACATCTGTAAAGCTTAAATCTAATTTAACAAATAGTAACATCTGCTTAGCCTGAATATAGTTCGGTTCGGTGAATATCTATTTTCTGCATTGCACATGAAACAAACCAGTCCGCAACATGAAGCTAAGATGAAACAGCTACAGAACAAACATGCCTAGAAACAGGCCAGGATACAAGAGTATACCCTTTTGCTTTCATCCATATCCGCTTTGTTCCCCACCAAAATTTTGCTCACGTTATCTGAAGCATGCTGTTCAATGTTTTTGATCCAATTTCTGATGTCTGCAAACAATGGAGATAATCAGAAAAAGGAAATTTTGCTCAATGTTATCTGAAGCACACAGGTCCATACTATTGAATGACGCCTCGTCCGTGACATCATAAACAAGTAAAATGCCCATCGCTCCCCTGTAGTAGGCTGCAAAGAAGAATTGCACATTTCACAAACTTCATCCATACAATCAGGAGGAGCCTACTCTTGCTTTGCTCAAAGTGCGGAACCATACCAGTAGTTATAGTCCGAAAGCGTTCTTGGCCAGCAGTATCCCAGATCTGCAACTTAATCCGCTTGCCATCCAACTCAACAGTCCTTATCTTGAAGTCAATACTGTTTCAAGAAACCCAGTCATGATTCATAACTTCATACAAGCATTACCATGTAGAATAATAATTCCCAAGCTAATATTTTTGTGATTTCTACAACAGTACATACCCAATAGTGGTGATGAAGCTAGTGGTGAAGGAGCCATCTGAGAACCGCAGAAGCAGACAACTTTTCCCAACACCTACGTAAGTAAATAAACTTTGTAAATGATTGATAATGGAACAACATAGAATGCTATAGTCTGTGCCAGAAAAACCTAAAGCTGGAATCCAGAAGTACATCGACTGGGAATACTCAGAGAGAAGACTAGTCACAACAAGGTAAAACCATAAATGCTCCTTTAGACATGAAATCGGAGAAATGCTGTGTAAGGCTAATAGGCTAAGCATCAGTTACAAGTTGCACATCGACATGAAAACAACAAGAGTATACATAACCAAAACATACAGGTATGGTAAGGTCACAGAAACAGGGGGAAAGCTAGTGGTTTGCTTAATCCTGGTTCAGTTATTTACACAGTTAAGGGGAAAAAGAAAATGAAATTCATTATCCTACTTGCACGATTCATACCAACCATGCGATTTCCGTAACACCGGGACAGGCAGTTACAGGAACAAGAGCTTGCTCCTGACTCCATGTGACGATCAATGTAATAACTACATCCTCACTTGTATCAGTTGCGCGATTACGTAGCTCCTATTGCTTCTATAATTTGCAAGCAGGAACAGGCTACTCCTGTTACAGAGCACGCACTAATCCAACGGAACACGAGAGGCTAGATTCTATCGCCCGTTCAAATTTCACACGGGCACACAGCAGCCTCCGCGAAAAATGATCTAGCGCGCCAGATCCCAAC